GTAGAATTTTGTCATAAATCTAGGCAAAAAATCTCAGTAAGGGTATATTAATCAATTTGTGTGAAAGTTATAGCGTCTATGGTATATATTCTGGAATTTACGTAGCTATAGGTGCTTTACTAGTAAAGGCAGTGATCTGCGACCTATAGTGGGGTGGGCAATCTGGTGCTAACAGACATTGGCTGGGAGAAACACTAGCTGGCTAACTGATAATGACTGCTAGTGACACTAATACAGTGATCAGATATAATACTGTAAACTATACTAATGACACTAGCTGGGAAGGTGGTTAACATCAAGGGGCAATGAAGGGGTTAACTATGTTCCTAACAAGTGTAATGTGTGCTGTTTTTTCTCCCTGTTTTTCAGGGTGACGAAACAGTCAGATCACTGTTCTGTGTACATAAAGTTCTGTGTGCTTATAAACACAACGATCACAGCATGGGTCAGCAGAGGGCACGTGCACACACCTCAAAAACCTGGGAGAAAAGCTTCAACGTACGGGTACGTCCCCTAGCCTGGCTGTACTGCAGGCCTGCAGTAGATGTACTGTGGGCGGGCGGTAAGTGGTTAAAGTAAGTTGCAAAATAACAGACATACTGTCAGGATCAATGGGTAGTGAAACTACGTTACAGAGGACTTATAAAAACAATCGGTGCTGTCTTAATATTTGTTACAGACTGCATCACATATATATTTTTTTATTTTTGCCCATAGTTCCAAATTAAAGCTGAACCTGAAAATAACAACATGAACCCAATGAATATTCAATTAAAATAACAAAATCAGCTTTTGCTGTAATTTTCACCTTCACTCCAGAGGTTTCCTCACCAGTACTTTATTCTGCCACTAGATGTTATCAATCTGATGGCTGACATCATTCAAGCCACTTTATCTGAGCCCAGGTCATCCTGGACATGCCCCAGACAGTGATTGGACAGTGAAAGGAGAAGCAATACAGTGGCCATCTCTTTGTCACTCTGATTCTCTTCCTATCAGCATTCTTAATGTCAGCACATGAGCCAATTGGCTCCTCACACTGCTTCTTTCAGTCACACTCCAACCCTGCTGTACAGGGACTGCATGATGAGGTTGATACCAGGTCAAATATAATTACTTATACTGCTTTTAAAAATACATATTGGGCTCTTTCACAAGGCCATTCAGTTCAAATCCATCTGTCAGTTTTTCAGGTATATCTAAACAGAACCTCCATGTAGGTCTATGGCAGGGGTATTCAATTAAAATTCACAGTCAGTAAAAATTTTTTCCATCAGAGATCTGAAATCTCATGTTTGTGCTGTGATTCAGATCCTTCACATCACAGCCCCCTTTACATCAGTGTCCTTGTTCCCCCTTCATATCACAGAACCCACATTTACATCAGTGTCCTTGTTCCCCCCTTCATATCACAGTACCCACCTTTACATCAGTGTTCTTGTTCCCCCTTCCTATCACAGCCCCCCATTTACATCAGTGTTGTTGTTCCCCCCTTCTAATCACAGCCCCCTCTTTACATCAGTGTTCTTGTTTCCCCTTTACATCACAGCCCCCCCCCCTACTTTTACATCAGTGTTCTTGTTCCCCCTCTTCATATCACAGCCCCCTCTTTACATCAGTGTTCTTGTTCCCCCTTCATATCACACCCCCCCCCCCATTTACATCACTGTATTTGTTCCCCCTCTTCATATCACAGCCCCCTCTTTACATCAGTGTTCTTTTCCCCCTCTTCTTCATATCACAGACCGCTCTTTACATCAGTGTTCTTGTTCCCCCTTCCTATCACAGCCCCCCATTTACATCAGAGTTGTTGTTCCCCCCTTCTAATCACAGCCCCCTCTTTACATCAGTGTTCTTGTTTCCCCTTTACATCACAGCCCCCCCCCCCACACTTTTACATCAGTGTTGTTGTTCCCCCTCTTCATATCACAGCCCCCTCTTTACATCAGTGTTCTTGTTCCCCTTTCATATCACATCCCCCCCTATTTACATCAGTGTCGTTGTTCCCCTTCTTCATATCACAGCCCGCCCATTTACATCAGTGTTCTTGTTCCCCCTCTTCTTCATATCACAGACCGCTCTTTACATCAGTGTTCTTTTTCCCCCTTCATATCACAGCCCCCCCCCCCATTTATATCAGTGTCTTTGTTCCCCCTTTTCATATCACAGGCCCCTCTTTATATCAGTGTCTTTGTTTTCCACTTCACATCACTGCCCCTCCTTGACATCAGTGTCCTCTTTCTCCCTTCATATCACAGCCACCTCTTTACATCAGTGTCCTCCTTCCCCCCCTCATATCACAGCCTCCTTTTTACATCAGTGTCCTCCTTCCCTTCTCTTCATATCACAGCTCCTTCTTTACATCAGTGTATTCGTTCCCCCTTCCTATCACAGCCCCCCATTTACATCAGCGTCTGTGTTTTGACTCTTCATATCACAGCCCCCTCTTTACACCAGTGTTCTTTTTCCCCCTTCATATCACAGCCCCCCCATTTACATCAGTGTCATTGTTCCCCTTCTTCATATCACAGCTCCCCCATTTACATCACTGTCTTTGTTCCCCCTCTTCATATCACAGCCCCCCTTACATCAGTGTTCTTGTTCCTCCTTCCTATCACAGCCCCAATTTACATCAGTGTACTTGCTCCCCCTCTTCATATCACAACCCCCCATTTACATCAGTGTCCTCATTCCCCTTTCTATCACAGCCCCCTCTTTACATCAGTGTTCTCATTCCCCCTCTTCATATGACAGCCCCTCTTTACATCAGTGTCCTTGTTCCCCCTCTTCATATCACAGCCCCCAATTTACATCAGTGTCCTCATTCCCCTTTCTATCACAGCCCCCTCTTTACATCAGTATTCTCATTCCCCCTCTTCATATGACAGCCCCTCTTTACATCTGTGTCCTTGTTCCCCCTCTTCATATCACAGCCCCCTTTGTACATCAGTGTCACCCCTGCCAGTGTTAAATGGTTTGTCTCAACTCTCTAACTGCCACTTTTGCTTGGTCTGTAAAAGCTTAACTTTTACAGATGTACTGACCAGATCACTAGGGGAAAATAAAGGGAAAAAAACCTAAGCAATAAACCTAATGCAGCCACCACATCTAAGAATTGGTAAGCTGCAGTTAAGTTTTTGTTTTTGCGTTTAAAGTGGAGTTCCACCCACAAGTGGAAGCTCCATTTTTTTGCCTCCCCCCCTCCGCTGCCACATTTGGCACATTTTTGGGGAGGGAGCAGGTAACTGGTTTTGACAGGTACCCATTCCCACTTCTGGCGCAGTTCACTGCGGTGAACTGAGCCGGAAGTTCGCAAACCCCCCCCCCCCCCCACAAGATCCCAGAGTACAATGGTCGTGAGAACCACAATTGGGTTCAGGGTTGGATGTCTGCTGCTGTTCCTAATTTTGAGAAATGAATTGCACGTGCACGCCGGACAATTATCACACTGACAACTGTCCAGTATAACCACGTCCTCATCTCTGTTCATTGCAGGGCGGTGCTTAACCTTTTATACACAGAGAACAATAGAGTATACGTCATTATTATGTAAATGTGGTCATAGTCTAAAAAGCACATTTTGGTTGGCAGAAATATAGAAAGAAGGCAGGAACTTGAAGCTTGCTTGTCGCCCGTTATCTCTTACTCCCTCACATATTCAAGGCCTAGGTACAAGATCTTCACAGCTCGATGGGAGGGGTTGAGAACATCGCTGAACAAACATTTTTTAGTTAAGGAGGACTGCAAAGCCCAGCAGACAAAAGATATACACACAACATATATTTAGAAATATGAAAAAGTATAAAAGTAGATATGTATAAAATGTATAGAAAAATGTATATATTCAACAGGAAACCGAATAGGCATTTTACCATATCCATCACAAGAGAACTGCGGCCCATTCACAAAGAGCAATGCACGTTAAGTAGGGAACAGGCAAGGCTTCACTGCTGGTTTTCCTTAGTCAAAATGACGGTCCCAGCACCCAACAGCCGATTGAAGAATCGGCTCGGGGTGAAGACACTGCTGGATGCATGGACAGGTACAGTAAATGCCCTACAGTATTTGTAGCTGCTGTTTTTTAATTTTTTTTGGGGGGGAGGTGGCGGAGGCCAGAACTCCTTTTTAATACCAATTTAATTACTAAATAAAAGGCAGTCAGGCTAATGTTATAAGGCAAAGTGCAATATTCCATAGAACTGAGGGACATTCATCTTACGCTGATCTGATTACCTTAAGCCAATTAAATGTGGTTGCTATGGGTTTCTGCACTTTGCATATGGAGATGGACTCTAAATAAGATTTGAGATACGCGCATTACTATTAGAGACCAACAACACATATGATTTTTACGTCATTAGCGGCTGCAAAAGCCGTGCAACTGGAATCATCTGTGATGCCTCGTGATGTCTTTTGTGATCAAAACTCCGTCTGACAAAGGTGCGCGATAAATTATAGATAAGAGCAGCAATGTGCTTTTTTTTTTTTCTTTTTGAAATCAAAGTGAACATTGGTATATAGCGGGTTAAATTAAACAAAAAAACATTCTGTTCACTCAGCTTGCGCTTCTGAAAATCTTAACAGAATTACTTCTATGCAAACACAGCAATGAAGTTGAAGGATTTGCAGTGCATGGGTCTAACTGTAGGTGTCACTCCCAAGCCTTTCTAATCCGTCGCTGTAGCTTTGCTGTGAGTTCAGGATGGTTACATACAAACACAGGTTGCCAACCACTTGTCATTGTTAGAACCTGGGGAGGGGCAAGGCTACAATCAGAAGCTGGGACATTTCAACCAACAATTAGTGTAAAGTAACTCAGGGCCTGAAATAACTTTAATATATAGCAGGAATATCATTTCAACTTTAATTTTTTTTTAATTTGGAAAGCCAAACATGTGAGTTTACTACTGGAAAGTGCAAGCCAAGGAAGAAGGAGGATGAAATCCCTGAAATTTTAAAAAAGAGAAACTCAACTTTGAAAGTCCAACTGATTTTCCACAATGACGGACTTGTTACGTTGCCCGAGTTGCAAAATGACTTTCAAATCTTCGCTATTACTTGAAAAACACAGGGATAAATTCTGTATTGGTGCAGACACTGGAAGAATAAGAGGAACACAGACACCCCAGGACATGGTAACTACATTACAACCTTGTCACCATAGCTCCTTTAGTGCTTCTGTTCTGATATGTTTAGATGTACACATGCGCTAATAACAACTGTGCACCAATCGAAGGATTTTGTCATCTCTTTCCGTACATGTTTATAGATGAATGTTTGTATGTAAAGTGTATATCCAGCCAAATGTTTTTTCTTTTGTTTTGGATAGAATGGGGAAAAAATAGAACTGCTTTTATGTCAAAGGGGGCACTGCTATTTTATTATATCAGGTACTTATATAGCATTGTCAATTTACGCAGCACTTTACATATATATTGTACATTCACTTCAGTCCCTAACCCTCAAGGGGTGTACAATCTAAGGTCCCTAACTCACATTCATACATACACATACTGTGGCCAATTTAGACAGGAGCTAATTCACCTACCAGCATGTCTTTGGGGCGTGGAAGGAAACCGGAGTACCTGGAGGAAACTCATGCAGGCACAGGGAGAACATGCAAACTCCAGGCAGGTGGTGCCGTGGTTGGGATTCAAAGCAATGACCCTACTACTGCCAGGCAGAAGTGCTAACCATTTAGCCACTGTGCTGCCCTAGCAGGCCACTGCTAGGGCCTGGTTACACAACCGTTGACCCTCTGAAGAACAATTGCTTTTCAGAGGTGTTTGACAGGCAGTGAGGGGGCGATATGCCACCACTGTTTTAACCCCTAAAAGCCCACACTACCATACTGCAACAGTGGCATAGCTTTAATCACAGAAATGGGACCGTGGCAGTGGTGCAATTAGGTTTTGTGCTGTCCTAGGCAACACAAAAATTGCCCCCTCCCCCTGCAGAAAGAGCTTTACATTGACTAAGAGCACCCCTGCCTTCCACTGCCCCCCATAATGTCCCCCATGGTGAAAGAGAGAAATAAACTAACCTTCACAGCTCCGGACATCGCCAGGAACGAGAGTCATGCTGAGCACACACCGCCATGAAACCCACAGCATCTCTCGGAATCCACCAGGTCCCCAAGCCGTGTGTGTCCCTTCTCCCAAGGGGCAGTGCTGCCCCCCCCCCTGAAAAATGCCACCCTAGGTAAATGCCTTGTTTGCCTTGTGATAAAAATACACCCCTGGACAGTGAAGATTTTTTGTTCCAATGCAATGCAAAGAATCATGCCCGCAGCATAAGTATACCCACATACGGCTACTTTTGCAGCTTAGCTGAAGTGGTTGGGGGGCAGTGAAAATACTGCTCAAACATATGTTTTTACCACTCCCAACTGCAAGTGCAAACTAAGCCTTAAAGTGTTACTAAACCCACAACAGTAAAATTAGTCTGTATATGCAGTAAAGCATGTTTGTTATACTTACTGTGAAACCTAAGGGGTTAATCCTCTGTATTGTGTAAAAAGGCTGTTTATTTCTGTCTTCTCTGATCCTCCCCTTCGTCTACTGTCCCCAATCCATCTGCTGATAGTACAGAGCACTAGGAGTCACTCTGCACATAATCAGTTTGGTTTGATTTTTTTTTCTGTTCTTTGGGAGGGAGCATGTGATCAGCACAGGGCCAATCAGCACTGGCCAGACAAAGGGTCAGGGGTTCACAGTCTCATAGGACAGGTAGAGAAGAATGAAAACTCCTCCTACAAGCTTTAACCAATGCTGCTGATGAGAAAAGATATTTAGCAGTTTATATTTACTAAAATAATTGTATTTCCATGCTCTGTGTACTGAGGAAGACCAGATAGAGTGAATGCAGGGTCCTGGGTTTACAATAATACTTTAAAGCAGTTGTAAAGCTTAAGATTTTTTAACTTCATGCATGCTATGCAGCAGCACCCCCTAATACTTACCTGAGCCCCACTGCAATCCAGCAATATGCACGAAAGCCTCCTCCTCATTGATTGAGAGAGCAGCAGAAGCCATTCACTCCCACTACTGTCAATCACAGCAAGTGAGCCAATGAGGAGGGGGGTAGCGGAGTGAAGCCACGGCTCAGTGTTTGAATGGACATACAGAGCAGCGGCTCAGGAGCAAGCCTGCTTGGGTGTCCCCTGCTTGCTCTGGGGGGCAAGATGAGGGGGATCGAAGTGCAAAACCACTGTACAGAGCAGGTAAGTATAACATCTTTGTTATTTTTTTTTTTAAATGTCTTTAAAGTGTTACTAAATCCAGGACCCTGCATTCACTCTATCTGGTCTCCCACAGTACACAGAGCATGGAAGTGCAATTATTTTTGTAAATATAAACTGCTAAGTACCTTTTCTCATTAGCAGTTAGGGCAGTCTTGTGACTTCTATCAGTGTCCAGCAGAGCACTGGTTAAAGCTTGTAGAAGGAGTTTTCATTCTCCTCTCACTATCCTATGATGCAGTCGCAGGACCCCTGATCAGACAGAGGATGTCTGGGCAGTGCTTATTGGCTCTGTGCTGATCACATGCACTCTCCCAAGAAACAAAAAACTCTCTAGCAATACACATCAAACTGAGCATGTGCAGCTTGCCCCCAAGGCTCATTTCTATCAGGAGATGAGTCGAGGACAAGCATGCTTTACTGCATATACAGACTGATTTTACTGTTGTGGGTTTAGTAACACTTTGAAGTGATAGTAAACCTGTTTAACAAAAAAGTTTCCCCCTGCAAAGTACTATTATAATGTGCTAGTATGCATTGTATACTAACACATTATGTGAAACTTACCTTAAAATGAAGCACTCCAGTGGCGCGCTGTCACCGCTGACGGGGCTTCCATCTTCACTAGTTCTTCTTTCCGAGTTCACGGGCTGCAGCTGCTTGAATGGCTGAGCCACTGATAACATCACTCCCGCGCGTGCGGGGGAGTTTCGGTCACGGCACACAGCTCTGAAGGAATGGCACGGGTATGCCATTTATTCAGAGCTCATGCGCCGGTGATGTCATCGGCTGCAGCTCTGTAGAATATCTCCTAAGCGGTGCACTTTTAGGAGATATTAATTTTACCTACAGGTAAGCTTCATTATAAAAAATAGAAATGAGAGCTTACTAGCACTTTAATATCACTTTAAGGTTAGGTTCACATCTGCGTGGGTGGTTCCCGCTGTGGTCCGCACCTGTTCCCACAGCCGCAACCACCATAATATACTGGATACGTATGGCTGCCATTACTCCTAACAGCACACTGCACGCAATGGAAATTGCTCCCACACTGGAAACTGCACTGCACATGCGGTTCCTGTGCGGACTGGAATTCCTAAAATGCTGCAGGGACCTTTTCCCTACGTTTTAGGAGGCATGGCAGCCCTTTCAAATGAATGGGCTTCCGTTTCCACGCAAATCACAGCTCAAAGAGCCGCATATGTGTGAACTAGCCTAAAAGGCATGCCAATGCATATAAATGTAACTCTTCTCAAAATACTAAGCTCTGGTTCACACTGATGCTGTGTGGAATTTGCAGCATTTTCAGTGTGATTTCCGCACTGCATCAGAATCGCACCCTATTCATACGAACGGATGCGGGTGTGTATGTTAAGTTAGCAACACCCCAACATCAGTCTGCAAAACAGATGAGATGTGCAGAATAGGATTGCATAGGTGTGATTACCCATGCGATCTGATTCTAGTGCGGACCAAAAATAGGGTCCTGCACCTTTTTGGTGCGGGTGCGGTGCGAATAGAGCCATACAAAATGTATGGCTCCAATCGCACTTCATATAAATAGCATGTGATTTGTACAGGAATGCGGTGCGGTTCCTGTGCGAATCACATGGGATTTACCGCACCGCTGTAGTGTGAACCTAGGCTGAAGATGTATTTTCAGTCCATTGCAGTGCATTTTTATGTGCGGTAAAGTTTGTTATGCTATAGGAAACATTAAAAAGTGTTGACTGTGTGGAAGAAGTGGCCTGAAAAATGTACCTTTTGTCTGGAATTCCTCAGGAACAATAGCAGTGTACTTCCTGACATTGGAGCACACCTAGGCACCCCCATGTCATACAGCCAAAAAAATTGCAGAGGTATTCATCCTGAGAAACTGCATGTACTGTACATTAATTGTGTGCAAATGGGGGCATAATGAAATATTACTAAGCTGTTTTTTCTCTAGGCCATATTTTTTTAATTTACAAAGAATAGAGTGAGTCAGGAAAATACTGCATTATGGCCAGTAGATGGAGCTGATGATCATAGTAAACAAGTATTTATATATTAGAATTGTAAACTTCATCTAGTGTCTATAATGCGTTATTTTTATGATGTACTCTTTATGAATTACTAATATTTGACCTGGAAAGAAAATAGTGAAATAACATTCGATTTTCCCTCATTTACACAGAACAAACGTACATTCAGTTTTGCCAGGCAATCTACGATTATTTTAATAAATATGTCCTTATGTAACTATTAAAAATGTTAATCTGTCCCAAACTTCTTAAACAGCCCCCAAATTCATGGATATGATTATTATTGTTAATTATATGTGGGTGTAATCATTTATTTTTTGGGCATTATTTCATCATGCTCTGTGTCACTGGGGGCATCCCTTGCCTATATACTTATTGGTAAAGGTGTCCCTCTTTGCTTCTCAGAAAGTTGGTAAGTATCGATTTGGTTATATCACTATTGTGCCACTCACTGTTTCTCTGCTATACTGTAAACCTGGCTACATAGTTTATTGAATACTGATAAAAAAAAAAAAAGCTGCTATAGGTACATATAACAATTTCCCTTTCATTTTGTTTCTTATCTTGAAAGTGATGCTTTGAAAGAAAAGTATGGGGTTAGGAAAAAAACAAAACATTTATACTCACCTAGATGGATGCAGCATCAATCAGATGCTGCATCTGTCCCTCACTGGCTCTACACTGAGAACTGAGCGAACAAAAACCACTGATCACTCAGTTCTCCCTCTCCACTGTGAGCAGAGAATGGTGCTTGTCAGTCAGGCTCTCTGCTCTGCTCCCCCAGCACTCACAGGAGCACTGGACTGCACAGGAGGCGGGAGGGGCTGGCTAAGGCTCTCAGCGGCTCACTGAGAGACTAAGCCAGCTGCCA